TCTCAATGCTAGATCATATATATTATTGATGAAAATAAATTTCACAAAAGGTCAATGGGTAAGATTTATCGACATGGAAAGCTAGGACTCAAGGGTTCTATTTTAGAACTAAGAAAAATAAAGGCACTTGTAAGAGTTATTTTAAAGAAGTAAAAAAAATAGCGGTTGGTTCCTAAACAAACATTATTTTTAAAAAGAGAAAATTTTATTGCAAAGTCTTTGATTGGATTTGTTAAGAACATTAAATAAACAGCATTCAACACATAAGGGGATCATTCATCGTGTTACCGAGTATGCATACCTCCAAATCTCTCTCTTGAAAGTCTATAGACAACAATAAAAAAAAGAAAAGAAAAGAAAAGAAAAGAAGGGAGAAATGCGCAATGCTCACTATGGAGCAATGTTCACAAACTCGGCCACTCCAACTCGAAACCGGCTGGTCAAACCAGAACGGGGCATTGGCCATTCAGTTTTGGCTGGTTTTGGTGGTCCGGCCAGGTATATAAAAAAATTTAAAACAATTATATAAAATCTCTAAAAATAAGGGATTTGTTTGCAACTTGTTTTGAATGTTTTTTTATCATTTGGCAAAAACTGGAAAGTGTTTTGTCTACGAATACTTATTATAATATATTTTCATCTTTTTTGAAAATTTTCAAAACATACCCCTAGGCTCAAATCATTTTTTAAAATCTATTTTTTTACTACTTTTCAACTTCATTTGGATGTGCTTTGTTTAATCATGATTTAAATATATTTTTCATTTTTTTTAGATTTTTTTGTTTTTTTAATACTTTTTGGACAATTGGGATCCACCCGATTAAGTAAGTTGAACAAACTAGTTTACTGGTTACTTGGACCCAGCCGTTGACTGGTTTTCAAGGCCGGTTTGATTTTCGGACACTGCCCCGGAGCATAGAATAGTAATGCGCCTTCCTATGCACCCACCTCTAGTAAAGTTATGAGGACGCGGGACCAAACTTCTGATGGTTTTTTACTTACTAAGTAGCTCTTGTTTTTTTCTTCCTTATTCTTTCTTTTTGCCTGATTCAATTTAAGGGGGCAGACGCAGTGTCCTGATCTAAATAGATGTTTGAGATGGCTTCAGTTATAATGCTATGTGTCCTGATCTATCTAAATAGATGTTTGGGATAGCTTCAGTTATAATGCCATGTTAATATTATTTTATATGAAAATTTTACATATAAATTATTTTGATGTGAAGTTTAGGGCATGCACACTCTATTTAGGGACACTCCGAACAAAAATAAATAATATGTCTTTTATAAATAAAATGACCAAGATATTTGTGAAAGTTGCGTGGGCATCTTGGTTAATTGATTATAGGAAATATATATTATTTTTAATTAGGTGCAACCCTGTGAGAAGTTGACAAATATCACATTTGATATCAAAATGATTTGTAAAATAAAAATTTTAAAAAAATAATAATCTAAGCCATATGAAGGCCCGATGACAGAGTACTTGTGACATTGTATTTGAAACTCTCGTAATTATCAATTCAAATACGAGGGCTATATAATGTAGAGGCTTAAACGATCAAAGTAAGGTGCATCTTCAAATAGTTTTGAATGATGTCGTTTTAGTATTGAAAATCTTTATGATAACTTGAAAATTTATTTTCATGTCTAATTATAAAATTTAAAGCTTCAAATATAGTGTAGATAAAGCATATCTATGAACCCTTGAAAATTGATAATCTAGATAATGCATTACAAGATACATTATTTCCAAGACTTGAAATCTTACTTATTTATGTATTTATTTATTTACATTCATGTATCTCAAAGTTGAGATGATATGAATTGAAGGTCTTTCGCCTTGAAACAACTTTTTCAAGTGAATTTTGTTAATGTGCCTTAGTTTGATTGTTTAGGGCCTTAAACTATTAGAAACTTCTGATGTTTTATATACGGGTAGAGGCATATAAAAATCTTTCCGGGTAAACCCAATCCATTTCTCTTGGGTGAAGATGGAGAAGTCCCTCTCACTCTCTCATCTGGTAAGGCAAAACTTGAGGGTTGAAGCTGCTTTTGTTTTGTCTCTCCCCCTAATTTTGAGATCCTTTTGATTCTCCAAGGGCTTAAAAAGAAGCCACTCCTTATTATTGAATAACCCAAAACTTATATTTTTGGGACGCAATGCAGAGCTGTGCATTGAAATGGAAACAAATCAGGTTTTTGTAAAGGGTGCGGTCTCTATACAATTAAAATAAAGCGCACATTCAAATACTGTCGAGGAATGTGGTTTCAATAATGGAAATATTTAAAATAGCCTTAAAATACATTTTCATGTTTAATTATAAAATTTAAAGTTTAAAAAATAATGTAGATCAAGCAGATTCACGAAAACTAGAAAATCTTGAAAATTGACAGGCCAATAATGCGTTACAAGATGCACTATTTTCAAAACTTAAAATCCATTTTTTTTCTCATGTCCATGCATCTTGATGTTGAGATGAAATTGAGGATATCGGGGCATCAAAACAACCTCTTATAGTGAAATTTTTGAGGTGCGCTTTACTTTGACTATTTAGAGCCTCGGTTCATGTCTAGAACGGACCCTGTTCACAACCGGAACCTTGACCATAGTCTGAGTCTGATCCAGACCCAGGCCCTTGACCATAAATTGACCCTGACCCAAAACCAGAGCCATAGCTTGAACTTGAGCCAGAACCGGAGCCATAACTAGAACCTGACCTTGCAACCCTATCAAAGTAAGTAAAGCCTCACCTTAAAAGTCATCGATAATTGCAACTTAAGTATTGAAAGACTTCTATATCGATCATCTTGGCTTAAATATTATTATTGTGAAAAAAATAGGATTTCAAGCTCTAAAAATAGTGTATATTGCAACAAATTATCTAAACTATCCATTTTGCCCTAAAAACAAGTTTTCATAAATCCGTAAGATCTATATCATTTATTTAGCTTCAACTTTTATTGTCTATATTAAAATTTGATTTTAGATCCATGATGGAGGTTTCTGTTGCCGAAGTCATTTTCTAGACAAGAATTTGAGGTGGGGCTTTATTTTTTTCCATAAAGCCTAGGCCTTATAGAAACTTCATCTACAAAAATATAAAATAAATATTAAATAGGGGTTTATGGGGAGGGAGACATAAAAATATTAGATAAATTTGAAAAATATGGATGGTGGGGCTTTGATGGGGTACTAGGCTGTGATGGACACCATTCTAGCCGATTCCGTGTCTGGATCGGCGATCCACATCAGGAACTACTGGCTGATATGGAGACAACTCCATAAATTCGAAAAAAAAGTTGTGCCTTTATCCCTTCACGAAGATCCTTCAAAGTTTGGTACTCCAAAAGTATTTTAATTAAGAAAAAGTTTCTAACTTCAATGGCGAAAAATGGCAAATTTAGTGATCTAAAACTGCTACACATTCACTTCTCCTTTGTGCGTTGATGCACTCGAACACTTTGGATGCCATGGAGCAAACCTAGCCTTTGATATCTCAAGGGGGTCTTTGTCGATGGTTCCGCGGATGCCACGTTAATAAAGTGGCCACACCATTCGCTTGTAAGCCACGTTGAACGTTGTCTTAGGTAGTACCATTTTCTTAAATAGACAAAGAAAACTATTCGCTTTTGAACAAAGACGTCACAATTACTTATGGGGAAAAGTTTATATAGTGCCGACGATCTAAATAATCAAATTTGAGCTTACCTAAAAATTTTTAGAAGAGATTGTTTTTATACCTAAATATCTTCAATTTGATTATCTCGACATCAAGAAGCATGCACATAAGAAAAAAATAGTTTTTAAAATAGTGTATTTTGTAACGCATTTTTAGACTGTCAATTTTCTATATTTTCAAGTTTTCATAGATCTGTTTATCTACACTATTTTTTAAGCTTTAAATTTTATAAATAAACATAAAAATATATTTTAAAGTTATCACAAAGATTTTCATTATTGAAACCACATTTCTCGATACTCTTTGAAGGTAGGCTCTAATTTGATTGTTTAGAGCTAGGCTCTATACAAACTGCACATTTACTTATAACCATCTTTTATTTTTATTTTATTTTTATTTTATTTTTATTTTTATTTTTATTTTTTATAAAAACTTATGAATATTACAAAAAAATCAGAGGAAATACAACATCATAGACTATGAAATTACATCACCACATCTTTGTGAGAGAAATACATCCCTTCGCAAGATTATAACCACCACATTGGCCTCTCGATACCCATGTACAAAAAAAATAGAAAAGGAGTGTGAGAGATCAAGAATTTGAAGCAGGAAATATCTCAATTCCCATGATACTTTCTTCTCCTTGTTGTACCAATTAATAACATTCAAAGAATCTAATGTGAAATATGAGGGCATTATAATTTTATCTCTTGGGCTTGAGTGGTTAGCCGCTGACATAAAAAGTGACGATACATCTTGAATTCGATTTTATTGAATTACTCAAAAAATAAAAGGAAAAGGGTGTGGTTTCTATAAGGTTGCAACCTTCAACAATCCAATTAAAGCGCACCTCCAAATTTTTTCGTAACATGTAATTTTGGTGTAAAAAATTCTCAAGATTATCTCAAAATCTATTTTCATATCTAATTATAAAATTTTAAACTTCAAAAATAGTCAAAATCAAGTAGATTTATAAATATATGAAAATCTTGAAAATTGACTATCTAGATAATGCGTTGCAAGAAGCACCATTTTTTATACTCAAAATCTTTTTTTTTTTTCTTTCATATTAATACATCTCAATGTCGAGATGATCAATTAGATGGTTTTTCAACATTAAAACAACATTCTCCGATGGATTTTTGCAGTGCATCTATAATGCTACATTTTAAAATTGCAACCTCATATAAACTTTTTCCAAAAGCAAAAAGATAAATGATATACTAAAACCTTCCTCACCCTACGGGATAGGTTATATTTCTAGCGTAAGATGAAGCATTCCTTTTATTACTAGACATGGGTAACACTTTTATTCACTATTAATATGTACATGCCATGGCATAAGATTCAATAGCAACTACCATTTCTTTCACTTTCCGTGGCCACCTGCGCCAGACCCTGATCCTGAACCATAGCCATAACCAGAGCCATATCCTGAGCCAGACCCATTTCCATAACCACTTCCTGAGCCAGATCCTGAACCATAACCTGAACCTGATCCTGAGCCTGAACCTTGGCCATAGCTAGAGCCTGAGCCAGACCCACTTCCATAACCACTTCCTGAACCATAACCTGAACCTGATCCCGAGCCTGAACCTTGGCCATAGCCAGAGCCTGAGCCAGACCCACTTCCATAACCACTTCCTGAGCCAGATCCTGAATCATAACCTGAACTTGATCCTAAGCCTGAACCTTGGCCATAGCCAGACCCAGATCCTGAGCCAGAGCCTTGTCCATAGCCGGACCCACTTCCATAACTTGAACCTGACCCATGTCCAGAACTAGATCCTGAACCGGAACCTTCACCATAGCCTGAACTTAATCCAGACCCAAACCCTTGACCATAGCCTGACCCTAACCCTGACCCTGACCCTGAACCAGAGCCATAGCCATAGCCTGAACCCGAACCTGAACCAGAGCCATAGCCTGAACCACGTTCTGATCCATAGCCCTGTCCACTACCTTGGCCATGACCTGAGCTTGGACCCGCACCATATCCTTGGCCACTGTCCCTATCAGTCCCTATAATAGACTCATCATATGAACCTGAGCCAGAGCTAGAGCCAGAGCCAGAACCAGAACCTGATCCTGATCCAGAACTGGAGCCCAAGTCAGAACCAAAACCAGAGCCTAAGCCCGAGCCAGAACCAGAACCAGAGCTTGAGCCCGAGCTAGAGCCACCGCCTCCACCACCCAAGCCAAGACCAATGCCACCACCTCCCCCAACACCCACACCACCCAAGTCCAAGTTTAGACCAAGTCTTTTCTCGCAATGCGACTCTCACCTACTAAGGCCAGAGCCACAAGAAGCAAAGCCAACGCCAGGACTTTGGCTTGAGACATGTTTCAATAGGCTTGAGGGTTATCGTGAAGATCATTGAGAGAGCAAAAGAATCAAAACAAGAAGATGGGACTTAGTTTTCTTTGTAGATATTACACGTTTAAGTATAAATGAGGCATAGCTTTAGGGTTGTATTTATACTTGCACTAAACCCAAATAACTCAAGACACTACTGAGTGGGAAGATGTTTATGAAAGTCTTAACATGATTATAACTACATGGGCATGGAAACCTGTAGAAAGGTCACAAATATGTGGCCAGAAGAACCCGGGAGGTGATAGTGGAGTACCCAAAAGCCTTAGAAATTGACACGCAACGTTGCGTGTGTTTGACTTTTCCACGGGTCTGATGGCCCACCATCCCTCTTTCACACGCATCAACTCTTTAAAAGCGTGCGCCTCTCACACACACACCAACTCTAAAAGACTCTCTCTTGCGCGCACACACGCAAAGAACACTAACTCGGGTGCATGTCTCTCACATACACGCGCATCTCTCTCACACGCACTCATCTTAAATAGTGCATCTCCATCATAAATGGTTGTTTTGATTTGAAAAACCGTCAAAGTGATCATCTCGACATCCAGATGTATAAGTATGGAAAGGGTAAAGATTTTGATTTTTAAGAATAGTGTATTGTATAAGACGTTATCTGGACCGTCTATTTTCAAGATTTTCAAGTGTTTATCGATCTATTTGATTTGAACCATGTTTGGAGTTTAAGATTTTAAAAATAAAAATGGAAATAAATTCTTAAGTCATCCTAAAATTTTTTTATTCAAAAATTATATTTTTGTTAAATTTGAAGCTACATTTTAATTTGATGGTTTAAAGTTGCAAAAAACTACATCGAAAAAAAAAAAAACAAACAAACAAAAACACAACAAAAGGGTGCTTCTTTTTCTCTCTCTCTCTACGCGTATTTTGTGGGTTGGTGAGAAGTGTGCACTTCTTCTTTTGTGGAGCAACGAGCCCACGCGTGTTACGCATTATGAGGCTCGCGTTCACACCTTGGCCTAAGGTTGATTCGATAGCTAATTCGTTGCTAGAATACGATTAGTTAAATGGTATTTGATTAATGGGGTTACATGCTGAGTATCATGAGTGTGGGTGATCATTAATGGGAGTTACGTTTGCCATTAGAATTGCATTTAAATAATCAAACTCGTGGGTAATATTCAAATGCCTGGCAGATAAGCTTAAAAAATGTTGTGAAATGTTGTCACGATAATTATTAGTTTTCTATCAAAAAAGGAAAAAAAAAAAAAAGCAAAAGGACGAGATTACCCCTTATTAAATAGATTAGAATTTATTTATAGAAATCTATTCAATTTTTTGGTCAATTTTTATATTTTTTATCTAATATAATTTTGACCTTTTCATTTTCAATCAAATGTTTCATTTATTTTTTTCTAAATGTTTTAACAATTTTAAAAAGCTCCAAAACAATTATGCAAATTTTTCCTACAAAAATTGGTAAAAACAAAAACTCTCTCATTTTTCTTACTAACAAATCATTTATAGTTTTCATTATTCTAATACCTAAAAATTATGTGAATTTTTTTTTAAAATTTTAAATACAAATTTTTTTTAATTCCAATCGATACTTAAAAAAGCAAAGTTTTATTTTAAAAAATACTTTTTAAATTTTTCAAGAACTATCATCATTACTTTTCTCTTTGTAATTAAGGAGTTCAGTTTTTATTAAAAAATTACTTGTCAATTTTCACGATTCTTAAAATTGTATAAATTTTAAATATTTTTCTATGAAAATTATAATTGTTCCAAATTAGCATACCAACTTTTAATCTATAAAATTGGCAAGTTTTGAGGAATCCCATTAATTAAAGGGACCGTAACAAACGAATATACTCCGAGGTCACAAATCTCATTTTGAGATGAGACGATGGGATCAATGATCTCAAGGCCAATATATGCCTCCCCGCCCTATTTCTGAGTAATTTTGATAAAAGTCGACAAGTTTTTATAGACTGTCAGATAAAAGGTCTTTGAGGACCAAAACTATGCAAACATCATCATATCATATCCAATCTAGGTAAAATTTTACATATGACAATTTGTCGGTCGTTATATGTCTTCCGTCCAAAATTCATCGGATCGAAACCATCCTTTATACATGAAAATTGACTTCTAATCGATGCAAGTTCATATTTCGAATAACTCCTTTCCTAAGGTTTTAGTCATACGACTTTAATGCCCGTGTCTGTCTGAGCCGCATCAAGCGCCATTTCCTACGTCAGGTTTTAGCCATATCTCTTAAACCACTTGGAGTTTTCTTAAGAAATTTGGTGAGCATGCATGAAGAGCTCTACAACATATCAGAATTTCATGGTTAAAACTTTTAAGAGCGTCGAGTTATTAATCTTGTCATCTACTGACTTATGCTCAAAACGAAAGTAGAAATGCCCCAAGTTCAAAGAAGCATAGCTCTCTCGATTCTTATTCAAATTAAGTGAGACCTAGACCATTTTGTTCGTCTATTAGTCGTTTATCTTCTTGTAATTTGTTTATGGGCAAAAGGATTCCTTAATGGAGAGTTACAGTCATTGGATTGAAGCGTATTTAGTTAGACAAGCAGTTTTGACAGTTTGATAGTTGAAACTAGATATATCTTATTTCCTGAGTTTTCTCATATTTCAAACAAGTTTGTCTTGATTTTAAATAAAAAAAACAACTTTGAAGGAGATTTCAAAATCAAAAGGATTAATTCTTATTGGCCCCAACTATCATACGAGAGAAACTACCGATTATGGTTAAACACAAAGGAGATACAGGCTTATCTATCTGGAATAATTGTCACTCTATAAATATATTCTCTCGCGCACCAAATAAGGGGATCTCATAACATAAAAGTTTAACACCCTAAGTGCGACAGAGAGATCGATCCCGCTTAGAGCATTTTTGCTGCATGTTTCTCCAGAGTGACAAGTTGACCTACCGGCCTCTTCTCTATTTCTGATCACGTAAAACCTAAAGAGAGAAACATTGGTATTCATATTCACTTGAAGGCTATAAGACTTGAAGAAGGAGCGGAGGAGTTAATAATAGTGCCCCTGTAAAACAAATATACAGGTATGATACGCCTAGGCATTCATATGTGATTTCATTTTCTTCTTTATATGTTTGTCTTTCTTCTGAGTACGTAATGGTCAAGGCCAGAATCAAAGGTGCAAAGGTGCCTGAGTCTGTATTTTTCTCACGTTAAATTGTAACAAGGATTTAAATTCCCTGAAGTTCCTCACATACGCACTTATATTGGTAAAAAACCCATTTATTGCTGCGAAATCTTCCCTCTAAAGTGCCCTACTTATTACATTTTACTAATAAGTTAAGGGGATAAATCGCACGGTCGATCGAGAGAGAGAGAGAACCCATAAAGATAAAACAAGATGCTAATGAGAGAGACAAACATACTTAACGCATCCAAATCTTTATTAGTAAGTAAGACACTACATGTAGCCAATTCACCATTTCACTATTTTGAGGGACATAAACTAAGTAAGGTACACAAATATTTAATAGTGACTTAAAACATTACATGAAGAACAAATTCGCCATCTCCTTATTTATCAACAACAACATACTTTCTTCAAATGCTCCTCACTTGCCACCTCCATTGCCCGAACCTTCACCGTAGCCTTCACCTGATCCATGTCCAGAGCCCCTCCCATTGCCAGTTCCTTCACCATAGCCCTCGCCATGACCGTACCCTCTCCCAGAGCCCCCGCCACTACCGGAACCTGCACTAGACCCAGCTCCGGACCCAGCCCTAGACCCAGCACCAGAGCCAGACCCGGACCCAGCATATGAACCAGCATATGATCCTGCTTCAGAGCCAGAACCAGATCCTGAGGAACTGGAGCCTGAGGAAGAAGCTGAGCTAGATCCTGAACTAGATCCAGATCCAGACCCGGACCCTGCACCTGACCCTGATCCCGCTCCTGCTCCTGAGCCGCCGCCTACGCCTACCCCTAGACCTAAGCCAACTCCAGCACCAAGCCCGACACCTCCCAAATCTAGGCCCAGGTCTTTCCTAGCAATGCGACTTTCTACCAAGGTACTGGAAGCCACTAACAAAAACACAATGGAGCCCATGAAACCCACCATGTTGTTGAAGTAATGAGACAATTGTACCTAAAACCTAGACCTAGACCTAGAAGTGCTTCTAAACCTTGCACTTGGAAGTGCTTCACAAGATGGCTCAAGGTTCGGATCACTTCACAAGAAGACTTAAAAAAGTTTTTTTGGATGGAGAAGAGAAGGGAAGGGGTTCCCTATTTATAACATGGATTGGTGATAGTTTTTTATCATTTTTTGGCACGTGTAAAAGCTTGGAGAAAAGGGGTTGAGGAATTTTGTGGATAGTGGTGTGAGTGGAATGCCCAATAGCTGTCTTTTACTCCATTTCATGACACGTTTGGGTTTGTGCACCTCCTCCTTTTTGCACGCATGAAAATGGTTCATGATTGGTTGATGGGTGCCAATATTTCATATGCAACTTCTCCCTTCTAGTAAAGGTTTGTTCACATGTACAAATGCTATTTTTTGCTTTTTTATTAATTATTAAGTGAACCTATGAATATCAGCAAACATTTTAGTAATCTTCGTGTATGGAATGAATCCTAGCCAATTTTTGCTATTTCCCAATACGACGTTTTTTTTTTTTTAAAAAAGTTGTTATAAGGGTGATCTTAACTTATCAAGATCGGACATACCAAACTAGATCACCTCTAATCGGTGAAAGTACCGATTAGTACTTTGATTGGTCTTGTCTAAAGTAAAAACTTATTTTAATTGAAAATCAATCAAATTTAGTGTTTGACCATATTTAGCTAGTCGAACTGTCGGGTTTGGATTGGTTTTACCTATGAAACAAAGCTTAGAAGCTATTTTTTCTAATATATTTCATATTTTAAACTATTATTAATAATTTTTTTATATTTTTTAAAAAATAGTTCAACCAGTTTTGACTAGATTAGACTCCTAACAAATCCCATTTGTAATTAAATAAATATATATAATTCTATATAAATGGCACCAGTGCACAACAACGTCATAGATGTTGCGTGCTTTTAAAATACGATTGAATCGAAGTGCATATTCTTAAATAGAAAATAATGCTCTTCATAATTAGTGATTATGCTGTCAATTCCATGTAAAGGAAACCGTGTTATCCACTTATATTGTTCCCTCCAAAAAATGTGTACTGCTTTTCTAATTCTGGTAAGACTCCACTTGATATATGTAGGTGCACCTTTGATAAATGGGAGAAGAGAGATAACTATGGCTTCTAGTCTTTCAAACTTTAAATAATTTCTCTCTTCTTTTTTTTGGTGTAAATAACTTATCTCCCTGTCTACTTTTCCAGCATCCTTCAACTGGTCGGATCACCTAGTTTGAAACAGATGAAAAATAAGTTTTTTTCGCAAGTTTAATAGCATCATGGTGGTGTTTTCATTGTAAGTAGGCTAAAAAAAAGAACTCACACATGAATAGAGTAGTAGTGTATGCTACACCATTTTACACTCCTATATGGGAAGAGAAAAGAATAACACAATTTCTTAGTAGATATGGTCTAACCCGGATTGGTGATTTGAATCGGCCTCACCCATACTCATGTCAAATCGAAAAATTGGTAGATCAGATTAGAGAATATGCAGAATAGGTAAATTTTGTCTGAAAGTTTTTCAACAAATATCTAAAAATAGTGTTCTTTTAGTTTCTAAAAGAAATTAGGAGTGATGCATTAGACATTTTCATTATTTTGTAAAAATAGATGAATACCAAGATGCTGTTTTCCTGGCTATTAATTACAATATAGCATTATAATATTACATCAAAATAATTTAAAAATATTAAAAATTTACAATATAGCATTATAATATTACATCAAAATAATTTAAAAATATTAAAAAACACTTATATATTATAAGATTAAATATAATAATTTTCCATATAAAGTGAATTAGTATCACATCAGTTGGATCGACAGTTTCGGCCTAAAATATTTAAAAAAATTAGTATAATTCCTTAAAAATCTTGTTTCTTAATTTTTTTAAAAAAAATACCAGTAAATATTATGGTTTTTCATTATTGTATAACAAAATATGAAAATATTGAGAACTTATTTTATTATTTTATATAACAACTTAATACAATTTAAAATTGCATGTAATTTTTATTATTGTATAAAATAATTTATTAATTAATTTGTAAATATTTATAAAATTATAAATGTATTAATTTAAAATTACAAGCTATATTAAATATGAAAATAGCATAATCTATATAGCAATAACATTTTATTAAATAATATAGGAAATTAATATATTAATAAATTATGTGATGTTTAAATGTATTTTAACAATAAAAATTTCAAATATACAGAAACAATTTTAACGCAATTATAGTGAATAATTTAACAATTTTTATATAATTATACTCATTTGATATAATAATATTAATATAATTTTAATGTGATCATATTTATAATAGAAAGCGAACTATATCATATTTGAAATAATTTGGATTGATTTTAAATTTTAAATTATATTTATTTATAGTGTTAGAAATATTTATAGTTATACAACAACACATAGTGAAAACTACACGTTATTTTGAAGACCCTTGGAGCGCAAAGGGATGGAGCAAATTCCACATCAGGGAATTTAGGAAGAGCAAGGCTTAATAAAAGGTTAACACATGAAACGCATGCTGAGAAAAACTGCTGCAGATGCCTTGCGCCCTATGATCCTTGGATGAAGGCTTGCCAATTGTGTACTTACAATTTTTGAAAAATAAAATAAAACAAAAGGACGAACGTGGCAGATTTGACGATCCCATGACCTAACCAAGTCACCCACTCGGTTTAATGCGGAGAATTGGTTGGATCTTGTTTTTTCATTGGATTCAGCGTGAGTTGAACAATGCTGATCTGAATTGCTTGATTCTAAGACATAACCAGGTCACCCTGTGACGCACTCGGTTTAATGCAATGCCGAGGATAGGCTGGATCCCGTGTTTTCATTGGATTCAGTATGGGTTGAACGATATCTGATGTGGGTCGACCGATTTTAGATTAGGTCATCGATTTGTAAAACAATCATCCGATTCTAGATCGGGTCACCGATTTGAGATCGCCCGATTCTAGATCGGGTCACCAATTTTTAAAACACTTGTCTAAATGGAGTTGTAACCGCATTGAGCAAAAGAATGAAAGCATAGAACTTATTAGTTGTAACCACATTTAGCAAATGGAGTTGTAACCGCATTGAGCAAAAGAAAGCGTATAACTTATTAAGCTGTTGTAACCACATTGAGCAAAAGAATGAAAGGATATAACTTATTAAGCTGTAGTTTAATAAGTAAAAAAAGTAATGAGATCATTTATTTTTAGTATAAAGTGGTCACAATTAATCTTTATCATTGGATGCATAATTTAATCATTGGATATACAAAGTGGTCACAATTAATCTTGGTCATTGGATGTAGAATTTAATCATTGGATGTGGAATTGAGTGGCTGCATTTATTTCATTGACCATGCAAAAGAAATTTTCACGAAGTTTATGACATACCCAAACAATCCGATTTCACATCGGATGATTATTAGTAATTGTGACCTCCTTGTGCCAAAGGTCCAATCAGTGTATACAATCAGTTAAATATGAACTTTACAACACTTGGCTAAGCATAGATTTAACATGTACATAGTCACAATGTTATTATGTATGACATGCAGAATTGCATAAAAAAATTTATGACAAATATTTAAGGAAATCATGAATGCAATAACTATGGGGAGAATTCTAGAAGAAAATTTCAGAAGAAGGAAAATATTAAGAACAAATGTTGATCAAATGTGGGGAAGAGGGTGTTGAAGGAAAGGAGCTGAAAGCATTAGAGAATAGGAAGGACAGATGGTATATGATATTTATATCGTTTCCCCATAATTCAAAGAAAAAGTGAGTTATGGTTAAGACAGAAGCTTTCTATCATTTCCCCTACTTATTTTCAATTAAGAAAATAAAAGCATTACAATTAATTACATACTGAAGCCCATTCCAAAGGTGTGTGTTTCAAATTTTAATAAATTTTATTTTAAAATAAATTTTTTTTATTAAAAAAAACTATTTAGATGGTGCTAGGTTCAATCAAAATTGTTGAAAGGTGCTTGTGCACCTTCAAGCATCCATATTCCGTTTTAAAATTATATTAATTGAGCGACAGGAAAATAGTAATATGATGTATCAACCTTAAAAAACCATCTTATGGCCAGTTGTTTGATCCAAATTTTGAAATATACACTATTTTCATTCTAATGAACAATCACAAAAAATGAAAAATTTGAAAACGCAATCTAAAAAGTATTTTTTTAGCCCAATTAACATAGGCCGTTCATTTTAGTGAGATGCTTAGATCTAGGCCTTAGAAGGATTTTTTCATTTCTAATATTTTTGGATGGCTTTATTATCATTAAATAAATAATTTTAAAAAATAAAAAAAATGATTTCAAGTTTATAAAGACTAAGATCTTGAAATTCACAAAAAGAATGGTCTAGATTCGTTTTTGGAGAGGACTCATTTTGATCATATCTAGTAGTCAAATTGAACTTTTTTTTTTTTAGATTGATTATTGAGATGAAGAGAGTGTGTGTGCAAAATTTGGGGTCATATGAATAGCACAAACATGGTTTTCTAGAAGTGTCGTTATATTATACTATGATACAACCGTTGCATTAGATCATTGCTCTCCAAATAATTGAGATAAACCTAATGTCAATGGCATGGCCACAGGAAGTGGAGGAGCAAAGGGAGAAGTGATCAATATTGAAAAGATGGCTCGCTTGTGAACTTTTCTTTGTTTTTTATTGATTTAGATATAGATTTCTTTTCTTTTTCACAATTCACATGACTTGACATATATAAGAGTTTAATTTATGGGATTGAAGACGAGTATATATGATACAAGGAGGTCACAATCATCCCTAATTATTATTAATATCTAAGAGTTCGTGGTGTACCATAAAATATTTGAAACTTTTTTTTAGATTTTGAACTTTGTCAATGATATAACCCCTATTGCTAAATTTTATATCCAAGTTATAATTGTAAGCTCGAAGTACAAGAAATAAATGATCTTACGATAGACTTTTCCTTAATATATTCCCTTCGTAGCTATCTTACTTGCTATTTCATTTTTCGAGCATGCATTATATAATTATTAGGAATTTCTGGGGGAGATA